GAAGAGGATAACGTCTCTCACGCACAGGGATGGCTTTGAGGGAGAGGGAAGTGTGAGAAGGATATATTAGGAAATGTAGTTAATATTAAAAAAATCAATAAAAATGTGCTTTTTTAAAAAATGTACTTTTAAAGAAGGAAATAATATAATAAAATCTTGGTAGAACCAGAAAAACACTGAATCATGAGGCTGACATTCAGAGTAATTTATGGTGCCTTAAAAGAAGTTTATGGCAAGTTTTTGACATAATTAGTTGTGAAGATTTGCCCTGAACTTTTTACAGTTTTCTCTATCAGGTATCAAAGTAGCAAACAGGAAATACCCTTAAATATTTGATCAGACTTTGAGCAAAATTTTGAAGTGGCTGAAATTTGTCATTGAGAAAATGCCACCTCTTTTGCTATTGTCCTCCTTCCTTATTTTCCTCAGGATTTGGATGTCATAATGCTGCCTTTGGCTGCTCAAAGCTTTCTAGTTGGGCATTCACCTGCCCTTCCTCCAAGTGCTCCATGCTACACAATTACCCCTATGGTGATCTTTCTGCCACATCAAATCTTCCTCCCTCTCTTCTTTAATCCTGTTGCAAATTAATCCTAAAATCATGAATACATTTTGAAAAGTGTCTCAAATCTACTTACTGAATTCAAACAGTTTAAATCAAAAGCAGTCCTGCTTATAAAAGCAATTTGTTTTCTAACATCCCCCATCCCTTACACAGGAAAATCCAGTTGCTGTTTGTAATACTTCTTCAGTATGTTGATACACCTGTGATTTCAGCAATGGTAGGTACTCCTTCCAGTGGTATTGATCTCAATCCTCTCTCACATTCTCATTTGGGTAACTTTTTGCCTCTTCCTTAGGGATCTGACACAAAGTGCCAGGGACCCTCCTTTAGATCTCTTGACACTGTATGGATACCACTGCAGCATCTGAACTGTCCACTGGTTTATCCTTCATTTGCTGCATGATTGTCTCTGCTGCTGCTGTCCCCACCTCACTTTTCCTGTGTAATTCTTTGGTAATATGTTATGGCCCAGTCACACTCACTACTTGGCTATACTGACTTTAATTATTCAGAAACTGTGGTATATCATGACTTGAAGCCATATGTCATCAAGTAGAAGAATATTGATGCTAAAAAGATGGGACTTTGTTTCAAGGAGAAGCATGGCATAGTTAAAAACACCAATGAAATCTAGGCCCTTTTCCTTCTCCTATTCAATTTTGGGCTCAGTTTATTTTCCACACCTAGTCTAAGATATCTGTACTGATGAAGCATCTCTATGGATTTTCCATCCAACTGCATGTAATACGTCTTAGTAAGAGGTTTTCTTCATCCACTTATTTTGTCCTGTGTTTGATAGTTAGGCAAAACTCTTTTTTGTGATGATGGGTCTCATTTAGGAGGCTCTGCAATGTTATGGACTTTTGGCAGTCAGCATATTGTCATCCAAACAGAGGGCTATCTGGTCAAGATCTCTCTCTTCCATTTGAAAACTGTTTTGTACAGCTTTTGCTACAAAAGCAAACCTCTTTGGCAAAAGTATGTCTCTTGACTACATGCCTTGATTGATATTAGTATTCAGAGGGTTGTTGAGCAAAATTCTCTTTGTCACAATTGTCAGGGGTCTTGTATCATTCTGAAATATACAATGGAGCAACTTTTTTGGAAAAGACTTATTGAGGCTGTGTTTTGTTCTACTGATGCAAATGCCTTTTTAACAAATAGTCAACAAACAATAAGTGTAGTGAAATCTTGAAACTCATATCTTTTAATTACCTGTGTTACTGTAAAGCTGTCATCTGCTGGAGATATTATTTACGAAAGCTTTCCTGTTCTCTTTTCATATTTTCATTCAAGATTGCCCTTGAAGAAAGGGCATAATATTTTCCCATCATAAAAATTTAGAAGAGATGAGAAAATGGAAATATGAGTTGGTAGAAACCGACATTTTTACTGTTTCCCATTTTTAGTAATTATAAGATTTCTTCCTAAGCTATTGATGTCCTTTCTGCTTTCAGATAAATACAAATACAGGGTTATAATGTAGAGATAACAGCTTCCTGGTCAGAGATGGAGTACAGCTAATCAAGGCTTCTCAAAAGCAAGGTAAAGAAAAGAGACACCTCTGTGTATTCCTCAAAGCTAAATCCCACAGACAGTAGCTACAATGAAGAGAAGTTGATACATTCAGAAGTTTACAGGAGATAAAACCCAAGAAAGCAGTCAATTATATATCTGTTGGACTCAAAATGCCTATGCATAAACCTCCAAAGGTTAGGTAGCAAGCAAGAAGAACTACAGGTTCTAACATAAGGAGGCAAATTTGACCTCACTGAGACTTGACAGGATGAAATCCATGACTAGAATATGGCTTTATACCTTATTGAAAAGGGAGGCAACAATAAGTGCTGTATAGTATGTATTTATTATGTGAGGAATAATATTTCTTATATTTCATGGAAGCGTAGGGAGCATTCGCTCGTCTTCCCTGTCTCTCTCTGCCTATCTGTCTGTCTCTCCCAAAGCAGGTTGTAATTTCTTGACTTAACTTAATGATAATTTTATTCTTCAAAAGATGGAAGAACCAATAAGAGGAAATGCTATTCTGAATCTAACTGGTTTTTATTTTCTCACTAACAGAGAGGAACTGGTTACTGGTGTGAAAATGACAGAAAAAAATTCCCTCTTAGAATTTATGATAGAGAAAAGGGGAAATCTAGACACAGTTTGACATGTAACTTAAATTTTGGGCAAGCAAAAATCATAGGGTTTATAAGATTAACAGGATCCCATGGGTTGAAATGCTATAGTCAGCCCCTATTGGGTTTGGAGCTGCTCATGAAGAAATTGTGAGGACACAAAAGCAAACAATTCCAATGAAGAGGAAAAATGGAATTTGTCTGAAGACAGCAATGTATGTGCACAGGAAACTCACTGACTAAAACAGATTTTAAAAAGAAATGTACAAAAGATGGAAGCAAAGTCAGGTAACAAGAGATGACCACGAGTGTGGCATAGTCCTGGAAAAAATGTAGCAATAAATATTTATTAAGCACCAACTACATGTCATGCACTGTCCTAAGTGCTGGCAATATTATTTAGGCTTTCAGTCAGGAAAAATTTCCTAACCATTAGAACTCTCCCAAAGTGTCGTGGGCTGCCTCAGAGGCAAAATTATGGTCAGGTCAACAAACATTTTTAGGCATCTGCCAAGTGCCTAAGCAAGGCTAAAGAGCTCTTGCCCTCAAGGAGTTCTCAGTCTTTTTTTGGGCGAGGGGGGCAGGGGAGGAGTAGGAATAGCATATAAACAACAACGTCCAAATAAGATATATGCAGGATAAATTGAAAATAATCTCAGGGGTAAGGCACAAGATGAAGGAAGGCTGAGCAAGACTTCTTTCAGAAGGTGAGACTTCAGCTGACGCTTGAAAGAAGCCATACAAGCCAGGAAGGGTAGAGGAGGAGGAAGAGTCCTAGGCATGGGGGACAACCAGTGCAAAGCACAGAGCTGGGAGGTGGAGTGTTGTGAGCAAGGAATAGCCAGGAGGCCAGTGTCACTGCATCACAGGATATGTGGGAGTGGGGAGGGAAGGGCAGTAAGGTGTCAGAGGGATGTGGCAAGGTGTAAGAGGACTGGAAAGACTGGAAGGTGTCAGTTACGAAGAGCTTTTACAAATCAGAGAGAGGATTTTATATTTAATTCAGGAAATAAAAGAGAGCCACTGAAACTGACTGAATCGGGGGTGACCCAGTCAGGTCGATGCTTTAGGAATTTGATGGCTGAATGTAGGATGGACTGTACTGAGGAGAGATTTGAGGCAGGGAGACCAATCAACAGGTTACTGCCATAGACTGAGTGTGAAGTTATGAGGGCCTGCGCCAACATGGTGGCATAGTCACAGGAGAGAAGGGAGCATATATGAGACAAGTTATGAACCTAGAAACAACAGGACTTGACAAGTGATTGGATATGAGAGGGAGAGTGAGGAGCAGAGGATGAAACCTAAGTTGCAAGACTAGGTGGCTATAATGTGGATTCATTTTGGGTACTGGCTGAACTAGATGGTTGCTGAGATCCCTTTCAATTCTCAAATTCTATGATTTTGTGTTGTTATTGAAAGGAAAATAAAGTTCCAATCTACAGGCAAGTATGGTATGGAGGATAGTGAGCTAGCCTCAGCCCTTGTTCAAATCATGCCTCTGACTATACTGGCTGTGTAATTCTGGATAAGTAATTCTACCTGTCAGGGTCCCAGGCAACTCTAAGAGTCTAAGTTGCAGGTTGGGTGCCAACCATTGTTGGTTGAGGGATCTTTCTCATTGGAAGCTCTTTCTACTGATGAAATCACAGGTCTAGTACCCCAACCCAAGTCCCATTTGTTCCCCTCCTCTAAGAAAGATCTTGACAAAATAATTATGGCAGCATTATTTGTAATAGCAAAATTGGCCATTACTACTCAATTGGTCAATAACTAAATGATCTGTGGTTGTATAAATGTTAATAGAGCACTACAGCAACATAGGAAAGGTCAAGTCCAAAGAAATATATTTAGACTTTTATAAAGTGTTAAATTGATATAATACATCATATACAATGACTACAACTCCATAAAAAGGAAAGCAACATCAAAATCTGAAAAAAAATGCAAAGAAAAAAATTCAGAAGGGGATAAAGAAGCATATAGGACCTTTTAATTATTCTCATCATGAAGTAAATATGCACTTAAAAATAAACAGTGACCAATGCAGTTTATGTTTTTTATTCATTTCTGTAGTTGAATTTATGTTGACAATTTCTAAGTTTAGAATTTTTAGACTTGACAAATTAAAGGCTGGGGCTATTCACATTTGCTAGTCTAATTTCCTTAGGACATAAATCCATTTTCTCAAAAAGTACCATTATCTGGCACTTGCGAATCATTTTTATTTATACATTTTCATCATGATACTTGTAATATCATTACATAAAAACAATAAGACTTTTTATTTCTCTTACCTTCTGACATAGTGAGTTCATTAGGTGGTTGCTGAGCAACCCCTGATGCAATAGAGTCAGGCCAGAATCTTTGAACTGGTCTATTCTGAGCTGTTTTTTTCTTTGTTTTTGGAGTTTCTGAACAACTGGAATCCAACATTGGCTGGAGAATTCGTCTTCTGGCATTGATAAACCTGATCATCAAATAAAAATCTCAGATAAGAATGGCTCCTAAAAAACAAATCCTCTGCCAAGGTTGACACACAAGATTATCATGGTCAGGTTTCTTCTTTATTACTATTAACAGCAATAAAAATATTAATAATAAAATATGGAAAACAGTTCATGAAGAAAATATCCTGAAACCTTACAAACATGTGGTGTTAATAAGTTTCCAAAATATTTCACTTTTATAGGTCTTGATGTCTCCCACTTTCTCACCTATTAAATTATTTTTATTCTACGTGTGTGTATGTGTGTGTGGGATTACTCATAAGGTTAACAGCTAAAGAACATGAAAAATTTTCTAAGGAGAAAATAGCACAGAGGCATTATTGCCTTCCTTTATTTTGTCTCAAAATACTTAGGCAATTTTTACTAGCAATTGCAGCTAGGGAATATGCCTTTGGTTGTGATTATTTAAGGCTAAGCCTTCAGCTGAAACTTTCACATACTGCCTTTTCAGCTTACTGGTAGCTGGAGAGAGAACATGAAACTATGTCATATAAAAAATGGTTGAAGGAATTCGGGAAATTAAAAAGGCTGGTGAAGAGAACAGATGGGGAGGAGACACGATCACTTCAAACATATGAAGAAGTGTCCTGTGCAAGAGTGATGAGACTTCTTTGTCTGTCCCCAAAGTCCAAAACCAGGAATGATGGGTCAAAACTGCAGGTACACATACTGCACTTCCAAAGAATTCCTCTACTAAAGCTCCACTCCAATGCCACATTGTGGAATGAAGCTGATAGGGCTTGAAAGCCATGCCAAGAAAACATAAGCACTAACAGGTTCTAACAAGCTAGAATGGCTAGTCTAAGCCTGAAGATGAACTATGTTTCTGCTGTCTGAGGACCTATACACCTAAATTGGGAGAATTTCATCTCTATACTACACTGGGATTATGATTTTTTAGTTACATCAACTCATAAAGATCATCTAACAAGTTACAGAGGAATTATAATCTGCATCAATACAGGGAGTGTGTTTACTATCACAATTACATAATTTTTAAAACAACTTTTTTTAAAAAGAAGCTCTATCTTACATTGACTGTTACTGAAGTAAAAAGCTCCACTGTTATTTTTCAACATTTGTCACTTCTTTAATACTAGTCAAACTATTTCCTGAATAGGTTTTCACTGCAAGCAGGCGCTTTTGTGAAAACAAGAGGGAGGGAAACCAAAAAGAATGAAAGAAGGAGCAAATATTCATTGAGATTTAATTCAGAATTTATTTTTAAATCTTCTAGATCAAGCAACTCTGAAGCAAAACAACTATAAAACAATTTAGAAAATATAAATAAGGCCATCAGGTGAAGAAAAAGAAACCTGTAAATATAGGTTAAAGGTTTTGTCTTTGTTTTACAAAAACTGTAACTACAGAACCAAAATCAATCACTATTAAAAAATAATAATAATAGTATACTGAATATACATAAGTATATAAAATGTTTTATAGTAAGAATATAACCCCAAATAACATACTCCAAATAACATAAATAACCCCAAATAAAATAACATGATGTCTTCATCATGAATATAATTCTGATAATTATGTTATGAAGAAACTATTCAATTATTCATTATTCCTAAATGAATCAAATCATGATGTATAATAATAGAAATATTTAATGTAATGTTCCATAGAATTATTCCTTAAGACAGAAATGCATATGAGTGCATTTACAAGGAATTGTAAAAGTATGGGGAGAATAAACTTTCCCTAAAACTTATTCCAGTTACCTATAAATTTAAACTTAGTTAAAGTATGAAGAAACTAACATTTATATATGGCAGAATTTGTTTTCTTTTTTCTTAAATGAATGTTAATGTTATTATGAGAGAATCATCACAAATTGAAGATCTATCTGTGGATACAAACCATTTGAGTTTAATAGGCAAAATTGTATATTATCATCTGGACAAATATGATTAAAAAAACCAAAGCACATATAATTAAAGTGAAAAATATAAACCTAGATATGCACTTTGAAGTTGTATGAGTATAATTTTCATTGGCTAAGGAGGAAACAGTCACTTTTATTCTCATTTTGTAAATAAGAAAAATTCAGAGGTTGTGGACCTAAGTCATTTAGTAATGGTAGAGACGTCAAACCTAGAACATGTTTCATTTGTAATTTAAAAAAAAAAAAACTGGTACAGAATATACCTTTTTGCCTGCATTTTCCTACAGGCAAAAACCACACATTTGGAAAAATGCTACATCTTCAAATTGTGAATTTCCATCACAAACATTAGTCACAAGACAGTCAACTACTATGTGATTTTGGAAATTCACCTCAATGTCTCTTTCCCCTCAAGTATCCCTTCTTTTCCTAATTTTTTAATTTCTAAAGTTGGGTAAGAATAATATTTCCTTCTGAAATTTCAAATTAGCTCTCTCTGCAAGGATGCCAACATTAAGAGTCCTGTGTGGGATAAAGATTACTATAAGTAAGATGGAAACTGGTTTCCCATATTTGTGTTCAGGGGCAAACAATCAAGAATGTAGAGCTTGAAAGAAGTCTCTGGGGAGGGGAGTAATAAGGTCAGAGAGGAAACTAGGTCTATAATTATTTATTAAGTAAGCTGATCAACACAGACCCCAACTTTTAAATGTGGATAATACAGGGGACTAAACTATAAATGTACATTTTAAAATCTGAAATCCACTCATTTCAACTAAATGAAAACTTACTTATCAAATGCCTATTGTTTGTTCAAGTTACTACGCTAGGAGAGATACAGTAAGAAACAAAAGATACCATCAATCACTGACTCCCAAAGAGTCATTTTACTGAAGGGGATTTACTTGGGCCAGCTAGTTCAAAAGATTGAGTTAGGAGAAAGAATACAGAGTGTGTAAAGAGAACTAATGACAAATGAGACTAGAAAAGTAATGAGCTAGATTGTGAAAGGTCTTAAATTCTAAGATGAAAAAATAGCACCTTACTGAAAAGGCCAAAGGGCTAAATTAAATACAAAAAATTTGAATGGGAAACACATGTAGGTATTATCGGTTAGTGTCTTCATACTATTTTACTATCTTCCCTCTATACCAAATTAAGGGAATTCAGATTTCTAATCTTTTATATCATTTGGTATAAATAGTTCAATGTAGTTTTCCATATTAATTTTTGTTGTTTAGTTGTTTTAGTCATGTCTAATTCTTCGTGACTCCATTTGGGGTTTTCTTGGCAAAGATAGTGGAGTGGTTTGTGATTCCCTTCTCTAGCTCATTTTACAGAAGAGGAAACTGAGGCAAACAGGATTCAGTGACTTACCCAGGGTCACACAGCTAGTAAGTGTCTGAGGCCACATTTGAACCCAGGTCTTCCTGACTCTAGGTCCGGCGCCTTATGCACTAAGTCACCTAGCTGCCCTCTGGATTCATAGGAATACTTCTAAAGTGACATTTTAATCTTACCAATTGTTAACTTGGAGTAGTGTCAGGTTGGTCTGAGCTGCAATCTGCTTTTTCTCATCTTCTGTTGGATAGGGATGCTAAAAAAAATTTTTTTTAAAGTTACCCATAAGTTTCAATATTAAAAATGGGAGCTATGTAAGAGTTACTGAGGTCAAACATAAAACAAATAATTATTAGTAAGTTCTGGCAAATAACAATTAAGCTTTAAGCAAAAACTAATTTTGGCTTTACCCAGGAAATGTCACCATTTGATTATGCATAACATAAAAGTAGACACGTTATTATAGTTGCCTAAGAACTTTTGTCAGTTTAATCAATGATCAGCAAAGCATGTGATAAGAATTACACTGTCTGTTATTCTGTATGAAAGTTTGGTAATATGAGTAATGTCAAACATTTTTGTGGTTAAATAAAACTAGAATAAACTGATCAGGGTAGGAAGTTTATATTGCTTTAAGAACTATGAGAAATACTTCTATTTGCTGATAGTCAAGAAAACTAACCCAGGAATAAACTTCAAATATTGACCAATGAAAACATTTCTACATATAATTAGGTGTTATGTACTAGTTATTAAAGTCTAGATGAAAAAAAAACCTCACCATTTTATTATATACTAAACATATAATAACCTACTTGCTTTGGACATGAACTATTTGGCCATAAGTCACTAAGTGGTATTAATACAATAACAATTTGGTTTTTTCGTTAGCTTATTTTGCTTTTAGAGCAGCATTTAGAAAATTTGTATATCTTAAACTAAATTACTAAACTACTAAATAACTAGGTATAACAGATTTTTAAAAAGCTTTCTGTGACACAGAATATAAAAGACTAATTTTCTCTACCTGACTTACACAAAAAAAGGTGGTTCTTCCAACATTTTTAAAAAATAGATGCATTCTTTTATAGTTGAGAGAGGGGGAAACAGAACGAAACATAGGAAAGGGCAGGACATTAATTTTAACATAGAAGATGAACTTGAATATAGAACCAGGGCAGCAATTCAGAAAAATAACATGAGCAATTGATCAGACTTCATATTTGACCCTTTGAATGGGATCTACTCATTTCACTTTCTGAAGGGAAAAGCTAAGATGGCCCCAGATCTCTACAAAGTCAGTTCTTCCCACTGGTTTTTAGAAAGGCAGAGCCAATCCTAGACAGAATTTTTAAGTGGCAAGTTTTTTTTCCCCCTTTTGGAGTCTTCATGTGCCCCTCCTTTTCTGAACTAAAACATACTATTCCTTCTTCTGAGTGCCCTACCTTATACCATCTCTCATTCTGCTTTATGAGTAATAAAAGCTTCCTTCTATGCCTGTCTACTATTGGTGCCATCCAGGCCTGTCTTTATCACTCTTACCCTAAATTCTCTTGTTCCTATTTCCCCAAAGGTCCTTCTGCTGCTGCCACTACAATCACTACGACATTGCTTTGAGCTAAGTTAATCACAATACGGTATCAAAACGAATAAATGTTACGCACAGTTAACCCAAATAAATCTTTAACTAATAGAATTTCAAAAAAAATGGGATAAATTTTAAGGTAGGAAGCTTTTAATATCCTATATGGAAGGCCAACTCCAGGAAGGAGGAGGGAAGGAATGAAATACAGTGCTTTCTGCAATAGTTCTGCCCTTGGAACTTTGCTTCTCTAGTCCTATTAGCTTTGTAGCTGAAACTCAAGACCCAGGAAATACGAGTTTTGCCACTTAATGATGAGGCCACAATTACCACTGCAAAAGTGGAGACTACCCTTGACTTAAGTTAATTAGAATGTTCACTGTATCCCAGTGTATGGATGTTCCATGATGGTCAAACTTCTGTCGAGAAAGTCATCTGTAGCCACCTTAAACCATTGATGCCCCTTGCTCAAGAAGCTGAAAACCCAGCTACGTGCATTATGGATCCAAGGATTTTTTGAAGGATACAAGGGCAACTCTTTCCCTTTTCAAGTCCTACTGACCTCTGCTCTTCTGCTCCTGGATCAAGATCATACCCCCATTTTTTTGTTTTTTGTTTTTTTATTCAGCTGCATGTTAGACTATAGCAAGTTGAGTTACCTTGGACTCAGGTCGTCTTCTACTACCTCATCCTACCATCCTGCCCTGAATGAATCCCATTAAACCAGAGGACTTGCTTCTGGAGTAAACAGAATGGAGGAATTGAAGGCTGCCAGTATAGTGGATCTCTCAGTAACTAAACTCTCTTAATATATACAAAATTATCATAGTTTGGTAGTATGATAATCAACTCATGATAAAATAAATTTGAACATATTGTTTATCATCCACATTATTTCAATTAGTGAGCCCTTACTATTCTGTACAATCTCCTATGGGATACAAAAAAAGTATAAATTATAATTCCACAAGGAACTTCCCATCCCTTTGGGAGAAAATGGAAGATTCACATGAAACAATTAAGCATGAGGGCATTAATTTTTGTCATAGACCACACATTTCAATCAAACAAATCTGCTAACTGACCCACATCTGCCAGTTACGCTACAATATACTTCCACCTAAAATGTTCTTTTCTTAATAGTACATTACCCTTTCTTTTTTCAAGACCTTGATCAGTGTGTATCTTGTCCATTCAGTCTTCACTAATTAAGCCCACCCAGCTCCAATCATGTTTACTCCATTTTCTTCAGTACCTATGCAATAAATCCAGTATACTATTTTAATTTTTACAAAACCATGTGCACTTAAAACTTCCCATGTCCTTTTTATCTGTTAGTCTAATTTCCCTGATTAGCTTCTTAAGGGTATCATCTTCATGTTTCATAATTCCTTTCCAAAACTGACTAGTGTTCTAAAAGTACTGACTTCTAGAATTAGGCCTAGTAGTCTGTGAAGAATATTTTTTTTCATGAAACATATCAAGTCACACAAAGAAACTATTCCAAAATCTTCTAAGATTGATTACAAAATCACAAAATCTTACCCCTATATGCTGAAAGAGCCAAGATCTCATAACATTTGTAGCATGCTTTGGCAGAACTCCCCTTTTATTTTTAGATGAGCCATCTTCTTGATGCAAGATGCTGAGATCTTGGTTTAACTGTAACTGAAGCTTTCAAATAATAAGTGGAAGAAAATGTTACAAAGCAACAAAAACTACATGCATAACATGCATAAAACTTTAGTTAAAGAAATTACATAGAATGTTTATGACTGAAAGGATGACTATCATTTAAACAACTACTTGTAATAATACAGGTATCTTTTTTTTTTAACATAATCTACATGGATCCAAGCTGAAGGGATAGAGATCTTAATAATATAACAAACTCTTCACCTATTTAACTATCACATAGCCACAAATGTAGGCATAAGATAAATAGTCCTTTGAGCAGATGAAATAGTTATCATGTGCAGTAAGCAAGGATTCATGTATTTTAGTCACAACATAATAAAACATGAATATTTATCTGCATATATTACTAGCCTATTTACTTTTATTTTAGGCACACTCAAAAGAACTCTGTTATTCAAATTTGACCAAAGGGTTATAAGATAAGTCTTTGTTTAAAAAAAAAGATTTGCATCTTGAAAAGTACTATAGAATATCCTAAAAGCAATTAAGTTTGTTCTCTTCCTCATGTTCAGTTCTGGGTTCAGCTCATTAATGATGTTCAGTGTCTGTATAACACAATTAATGGGCCAGCAAAACAAGTTGTCCATACAGTTACAAATCAGACTAGATAACAGCATTGCTATGTTGCTATTCTTACAGTCTATAAATAGTATTCTTCATCCACTTGGTTATTCTACTGTAGATAGTCAAGCAGAATTACTTTGTCCAAGAAGGGATCCCATGTTCTAGGATTTGATGCAATCAAGATGCTATCTATAAACAATGGCTATCTGGAGGCCCTTATCATATATAGGGAATCTCTTTTGTACATGGATTTTGTACTGGGTATTTTTAATAGCAATGGCAAAAAAACATATATCTCCACATGAACACATTCTTCTAATGATATAGTGTTAACCTCCCGTCCCCCAAGCTGTACTTCTTTTCTGTTTTCTTCTTTATCCCTTCTTTTACCTTTCCTTATACTTTACCTCATCCCCCCTCGTATCACAAAGAAAAAAAAAGACTCCTTTAAGAAAGAGGAAATGTTTGTTTAATGATTTAAGAATAATTTCTGCATTAGTTATCCATGTATAATACAACCACAAATAGTTCAAAGCTAAAATAAAAAAAACCTAATCTCAAATTAAAAGACTATGAGAAAGAAAATATAGTGCACAAGAGAAGTAAATTCCAACTTGATCTAAATAAACAAGCAATGATGCCAAAAATGCAAAATCATTAAAATAACATATCTAAGTATTAGTCTATGTTCATTTCCTAAAGAAATAAAACCAATGTGAACAAACTGTCATCATGAGGAGAACAAAAGAGACAGAAACTTGCCTTAGCCAGCAAATACTTGTATTTTTCCCAAGATAAGAGATATGGTAGCCAAGGCAAGTTTAGACTGTACACTCATTTGCAAAATCTTACAGGTAAAGATGGCAGAAGATTATGACACCTTATAGAGGCAATGGAAAGAAAAATCAGTTAAAGAAAATTATGGTGAGAAACACAACTAACCAGATCAGGAAAAGGGCATAATGTTGCTGTGAGTGGGAAAAGGGCATATGTCAGAATTATACAAGACCCCTGACAATTGTGACAAAGAGAATTTTGCTCTCAACAACCCTCTGGATACTAATATCAATCAAAGCATGCAGTCAAGAGACATACTTTTGCCAAAGAGGTTTGCTTTTGTTGCAACAGCTGTGCAATACAGATTCCAAATGGAAGAGAGGGAGCTTGACCAGATAGCTCTGTGTTTGGATGACAATATACTGACTACCAAAAGTCCACAACATTGCAAAGCCCCCTAAATGAGACCCATCGACACAAAAAAGAGTTTTGCCTAACTATCAAACATGGGACAAAATAAGTGGATGAAGAAAGCCTCTTACTAAGACTATTACATGCAGTTGGATGGAAAATCCATAGAGATACTTCATCAGTACAGATATCTTAGACTAGGTGTGGAAAATAAACTGAGCCCAAAATTGAATAGGAGAAGGAAAAGGGCCTAGATTTCATTGGTGTTTTTAACTATGTCATGCTTGTCCTTGAAATAAAGTCCCATCTTTTTAGCATCAGTATTCGTGTGACTGGGCCACAACATATTACCAAAGAAGAATTACACAGGAAAAGTGAGGTGGGGACAGCATCAGACAATCATGCAGCAAATGAAGGATAAACCAGTGGACAGTTCAGATGCTGCAGTGGTATCCATACAGTGTCAAGAGATCTAAAGGAGGGTCCCTGGCACTTTGTGTCAGATCCCTAAGGAAGAGGCATAAGGGGACAAGGCAAAAAGTTACCCAAATGAGAATGTGAGAGAGGACTGAGATCAATACCACTGGAAGGAGTACCTACCATTGCTGAAATCACAGGTGTATCAACATACTGAAGAAGTATTACAAACAGCAACTGGATTTTCCTGTGTAAGGGATGGGGGATGTTAGAAAACAAATTGCTTTTATAAGCAGGACTGCTTTTGATTTAAACTGTTTGAATTCAGTAAGTAGATTTGAGACACTTTTCAATATGTGTTCATGATTTTAGGATTAATTTACAACAGGATTAAAGAAGAGAGGGAGGAAGATTTGATGTGGCAGAAAGATCACCATAGGGGTAATTGTGTAGCATGGAGCACTTGGAGGAAGGGCAGGTGAATGCCCAGCTAGAAAGCTTTGAGCAGTCAAAGGCAGCATTATGACATCCAAATCCTGAGGAAAATAAAGAAGGAGGACAATAGCAAAAGAGATGGGATGCAGCAATAGCACTTCTAGGGCTATATCCCAAAGAGATCATATAAATGGGAAAAAGACCCACATGTACAAAAATATTTATAGGAGATCTTTTTGCGGTGGCAAAGAATTGGAAATTGAGAGGATGCCCATCAATTGGGGAATGGCTGAGCAAGTTGTGGTATATGAATGTAATACAATACTATTGTGCTATAAGAAATTATGAACAGGCTGACTTCAGAAAAACCTGGAAAGAATTGTATGGTCTGATGCTGAGTGAAGTGAGCAGAACCAAGAAAACATTGTACACAATAACAGCCATGTTGTGTGATGACTAATATTGATAAACTTAACCCTTCCTGGCAACACAAGGATCTAAGACATCTCCAGAGACCTTGTGATGGAAAATGCTATCCAAAGAAAGAACTATGGAAGTTGAATTGCTATTTTTTTTTTCTGTTCTGTTGAGTTTTGTTTCCTCTTTCTGATGGTTCCTCCTATTGGTTTTAATTTTTATTTACAACATCACTAATGTGAAAATATGTTTAATAGGAATGTAAATGTATAGCCTATGTCAGATTGTGTGCTGTCTTAAGGAGGGTGGTGAGGAGGAAGGGGGAGAAAAATTTTAAACTCAAAAGCATGTGGAAGTGATTATTGATAAATCAAAATAAATTAATAAAAAAATAAAAAAAAAGAGGTGGGATGGACGGAGGGAGGCATTTGGCAGCTGACTGGGCTGAGTTGTTGAGTTGGAGGAGCCCCACAGCTCTTCCTTATAAATTGAACTGACAGGACTGGAGGGAGTCAGAGGAGATGGATGCATCAAAGACACAAATCAGCTAGTAATGAAATCAGCTTTTGAATAATTACTATGTAGACCAAAATCAAGAGTTAGATTAATCTGTACTAAGAAACTCAAAGAGACAGATGTCATAACTATGGGTGTCACATCTTCCTTAGAATATCTGCATCTTATTGCAGATAAGATGGGAAGGCTACCTTGTCACTTCAATAGAGGTTATAGCGCCATTCAAAGCTAAAAAAAAAAATACCCTTGCAGTTTAATAAAGGAAAAGACAAAAGTGCTAAACTAAAGGTATTTGTGTATACTTCAACAGCTTCAGCTTCATCTTCTAGAGTCTAGGGGTAGGGAACCCGCGGCCTTGAGGCCACATGTGGCCCTCTAGTTCCTCAAGTGTGGCCCCTTTGACTGAGTTCAAACTTCACAGAACAAATCCCCTTAATAAAAGAATTTGTTATGTAAAACTTGGACTGGGTCTTAAGACCACACCCAAGGACCTAGAAGGCCACATGTGGCCTTGAGGCTATAGGTTCCCCACCTTGTACCTAGACCAAATGTGACTACTTTCCTCACATTCAGCAGATGTCAAACTAAAAGGAGAAACTGATGATGGGAAGAAGAATATGCTGGAAAACCCTGAGGCACAGCTAGTTAAATTGTTCTGTGTTGCAGAAACTCTAAAAAAGGAAAAGAGAAAGAAGTGGAAAAAGTGTGGAAGAAAAGGCAATGAGTAACTTTAAGGTGGAAACAGAAAAGCTAAAAGAAGTCTTGTCTAGGTGAGATGGTATAGAAGTCCTGTGTCTCTTGTGCTGGAGATTCATTAACAAGAATAAGAACTGAAAACTGATGTTTGTTTCATAGTAACAAATGGTTTGGGTGTGCAATCGAAAAAAAAAAGAAACGAGTACATTCATTTTAATACATAAAAGAAGGGGGAATAATGAAAAACTTGCATTTTATTTTATTTATCAGTATGAAAAAAGAGGTCATATTTCTTACTATGCTGGAATTGCAAATCTCTTTTTTGTTGTTTGCTTGAAAATATTACTGAATCTGTTTCAACGAAGAGGAAGTTCATAATGAATTTTTATGGAATACTTATGATGTAATTTTTAAAGAGGTCAGTATTACAAATAGGTTAATGTAGCCTTAAAAGTAACCAGTAAAACATACTATGTGGAAGGGAAAATTAGCTTACTAATAAATGGAGCAATTACTTTTCCTATAATGCAAAAGGAATATATGATATTTTATATATTTTAAAAATATTTTAGCTTTCACACCCCAAATCACAACTTTGTACCTAGATCTGTACAGTGCTGCATTTAGGTGATGACAATAGGAATTTGTGAACTATAAAACAGATGATATCTGTGCAAATAGTAATAACTAATGAAATAAACAAAATAAATTTGATACCTGAAAAATTTCATGTCACTTATAAC